ATCAACTCTCTTTCCCAGGTTTCGTATGAAATATATAAATTGTGATTGTGACTGTGATGTCAAGCTGGTCAAGCTAGTTAGCTATTTATGTCGTCAATTTCATCAAGGTCTTCCAATGATATTTGTTATTCAGTCTATAACCGTATAAACCATGCCATACAAATCAAATAGTAAGTAGTGTATTACGGTTTCTCGAATGCAGAACGTGTCGTGAAACAATACTGAACTGACATGCTACACAGCGACAAAACATTTACAAGTTCGTGGATAAAACCGAAATTGTTCAATCAAGGATTTCTAATATTGCTTATGCATGCATGTGTACATAGATATATATCCCACTACAATAATTAAATACTCTATTTTGTTTATTAAATATTGTATTTGACTTTGAGCATTGAAATGGACTCGAATGCTTATATAAACAATAATTGAATATTATTTCTACCGATGAAATGAAGGATTGATTTAGCAACAAACAAATTTTTCATTTATTTATTTTTCCATATTTATTTTTCACATGTGTATCTAGACCATTTGAATGACTTCATTTGGTTTGTTGGACAATTGATTTCATGGAAGCTCAATTTTAATGGCTGATTGTACTAAATATTAAATTCTAAACTATTTTCAATTTCAATAGAATTCCAACTGAATGTGTTCACCGTGTGCATTTTGTTATTGGTAAGGATTCCCACACGAGGTAAACAATTTACCTGCACAATCGCTTAATAAATTATTATTGTGGATGAGAAAATGAGAATTATATTGAATCCACTACTGACAAGGGAACATACCGAGGTGTCCAACAAGTTAAGGGTCGACACCTATACCAAAATGACCACAATACATGACTTATTAAACAAACTGAAGGAATTTCCGTTGTAATATTCACTTTTCGTCACGTTGTGACGATATTTGTGACGAGCGCATGACCATCGGGTTGCCAGCGGGAGAGGTCGGCCGCTGAACGATCAGATAGATCGAACACATGTTGTCTTCAGAGATCTCAAATTTCAAATAACTAACACGCCTCTAATTTTTTCAAAATTTCATAATTATTTCAAAATTTCATAATTATTTCAAAACTTCATAAGTTTTTTAAAATTTCAAAATTTTTTCAAAATTTCGAAATTTCTTCAAAATTTCATCAAAATTTCAGATTATTTTCAAATTTTCTTCAAAATTTCAAAATTTGAAATAATTCGAAATCTCTGGAGACGACGACGCTTATCTGTGGTCGACGTGATCGTTCAGCGGCCGACCTCTCCCTCTCTGGCAACCCGATGGTCATGCGCTCGTCACAAATATCGTCACAACGTGACGAAAAGTGAATTTTACACGGAAATTCCTTCAGTTTGTTTAATAAGTCATGTGTTGTGGTCATTTTGGTACAGGTGTCGACCCTTAACTCGTTGGACACCTCGGTATGTTTCCTTGTGAGTTTTAGTACTGCAAACATATTTTATAATAGTTTATTTTACTTTTATCGTGTATGCATCGGACCTTAAACTTATATATATATTTATTTGCCATCATCAGAAAGACAAGTTTTACAACTAAACCCATTAATTTATTCCAACACTTGAGAAAGAAGCATTCTCGCATCCGTTGACGAGCTTTGACGATCTGTCAGTTTGGCAAAAAACGAGAAAGAAGTACGAGAAGAACATGAGAATAAAAACTTTTTCCTTTCTTAAATCCATGTTCAATGCTCACTCATTAGTTCCACTTATTTGTTCTTTTAGTCGATCCTCTCCATCCTCCACTACTAACAACTTCTTGGCTTCTTAACTTTACTCCATACTTGTTCGTCATCTCTCTTTCATCTCCTTGGTTCTTGTGAGCAGTAAAGAGCAAAACCAAGTAAAGTAGTACTCGACGTAATATGTATATGTTATGTAGTAAGAAAGCAGTAATGGTAGTAATACATATCATCATCTTCTTCTTGACATTCTTCTCCTTGCTTGACTTCAACTCGCATAGATGAGGACTGCAGATGGAACAATAGAATGGAAAAGTTGAATGTAAAGGTCTATCTGAAAAATCTTCACCGTTTTGGCAACCGCTGGCATTGATTCATTTCACTATTTTTCTCAACAACACGCCACACCGCACGAACAACAATCTCTCTCTCTCTCAGGAAACCAGCAGCCCACACTAAACAAAACTAAACAAAATAACTGCGGAGCGGAAGAAGAAGAAGAAAAAGGCAACAAATGCCATGAAAGATATGTACACCAAGTGTATCAAATCTTCACACAAATGTGTTCCGTCACTATAATCCAAAGTTTTTAAGCCCTTGCATTACATTCATGGCGTTGCGTGGCGTTACATGCCCCCATGGATATGGGAATGGGTGCCGCGTGCACAAGGAATTACGAGACAGTAATACGACAACCCCTCATGTAAGTAAAAAAGACGAAAATCTGTACATATGCACATATCCGACAAGTTGAGAAAAGATCGAAGAAGAAACTATGCTACGATTACGGCTTGCTGAGTCAACATCATTTGTGAAAAAAAGATTCAAGCTTTCAGACGGGAAAGAAAAATATAATGGTATACATACACACAAATCAGTAGTAGTAAGTGAATAGTGGTTGGTTAGTTAGCAGTTAATAGTTTTGTGTACTACTGCCGGTTTCAATAACCAAAGAAAGCAATGCGAAAATTGTTTTATGGTGATCAGATTGCAGCAGCAGAGATTTATGAAAGTACTCAAGTACGTTTCATTAGCACAAAATATGCACCAAAAAGGTTGGTTCCTTCCGCCTTTATTCACCACCTCTCATGGAATGTTATGGAACGAGGTATGCAAAAGTATAATAAATTAGTATTGTTTAATAAATCCTGAACCAAGCACACCCGACAAGCACACACACACTCCAGTGAAAATGTATTAAATTAGCTAACACGAAAGGAATGCGGAACTAAAAGTCGTGTATGTGTGGTATTATGTATGTACATACATATGTACGTACGTACCTATATTGGTGAAAGGAGAGGTCAATCAAACGCTGCAAAAACTTGACTCGACTATTAATTCCCCGTGCGTTCAATGTATAACTCCCGGAATAATAATTTAGGAAGGTTTTGATGACAAGTTTATTGCAATCTTTAAATAAATAATCCGTGGTGCTTCTTCATTACAAGGTTCGTATATTGCTTCACTCACTGCATGTTGGTGAATTTAAATAAAAATCGAAATAAACGTGAATGCCAAATGTCAAATTAAAATACCTGTCGTTCTGTATCAGTGGGTAAATAAACACGGTGCAAGCCACGCTCTTGTCTTATCCGAAAGAGTAAATATAAATAAATACCAGCTCGTCAGGTATTTAATTTGCAAATACATACACCAACCAACCAAACATCCAACATTCTCGTGATCTCTCTCTATCGCTATTTGCCTGTGATGCGAGTGAATGAATTGACACACACACTCGAGTCGAGTTACACCATTTGTAATGAATAATGCCCTCCCTGCAATCAATCCAACACATGCAAAATCTGTGAATGATTATCATTTCATTGAACCGATGAAGACTCGCTTGCTTGCTTACACGCTATATACTTACTTAATCATTAGTTAGTTGTACTAAAGAGATAAAGACAATCTCCCTTTTATTTCACAAATGGTGATGATAAGGTTGATCAAACTACATAATCTATCTGAATGAAAGCCAAGATATTTGGTGAATACATAATGTATGCAATAATAATTTTGAACTCAATAAAATAATGAATGGGCAATTTTTTCTCGGATAAATGTGCTGTCAACAACACAATTTCAAGTAATTTTGATATGCCTATATTTACTTCCCTTTGTACACTTAATCAATGCTCAACTAGAGCGGAAACCTGGACTTAATAAAGTTATTGTTGGTGTAAATAGCAGCACGTCGTCTCGGGTACAATTTGATTAATTAATAGGTGCTGATGAAATTATGCTCTATGAAGTGGCGTATATAAGTAGCAGGCAGGAGTAGTGTTCAAAGAAACAAGGATCATAATTTAACTAGGATCCAGCAAATTTAGAAAATTGCGTTTAAATAACTACATACATATTTATGCAGAATTATACTTCTTCTTTCAACCAATTTTCTCGTACCGTACTCGAGGATAAGTAAATTGCCCAGAGAATCCAATTCGGTTATTCATACCTAATCATGGCCTATAATCCGATCCATTATTCTTCCTTTATAATCACATTTTAAACCTTATCATTTTATTACTCACTGCCTAAATTAAATCAATAATCACGAGAAGGATTGACCCAACTGTAGTTAATAATAATACACAAGCTTGACGCATACATACACACAAATAAATTCACTAACAATTAATTAATTAATTAGAGAGCCATGATGATGAACGATAATAATAATAATGATAACTTCATCTTTCACGTATTATTATGCCCATTTGCATGCGTCCGACAACATACATGGAAAATTATTTAAAAAATTGAATGACACACGAACCCTCTCTTAATAAGCTCTTTGTTCTTTTAGTGTATGGCGTAGTGAGTGAGTGAGAGTTCTTTTCAGTCATGCTGGCTGTCTAACATTTATTTAATGTTTTCATTAAAGGACTGTGCATGCAATCACCCTCTACACATATACATACATCAAATCCTCTGCTGTACTAAATAAACACACGGTTTAGAACGGAACCCCAATTAGCAATTAGATAATTAATTCTTCCTCATTACACAGTCATCTCACCATCACAAGCCAAAAAATTGTCTCATTCTCGCATTCAATGAAACCAACCACACATTATTCAACAAACCTAAAGACAATAAAATTGCAATACAATGCAACCACAGCTCAGTCTCACTCTTATCACTTTGCCCGGCGCAATCCGGAATAGTAAACAAACGACGTAAACAAACGAGGACACAAACAATCATCTTACTTTTTTCCACCACGGAAAATGACACTGACCCAAAAAAACAAGAAGGTAAAGGTAACATAAATAAATTATTTACTCACCCGTCACATCGAGGAGAAGGAGTATCCACACCAACCTAAAAAGTATGGTCGTGGTGTCAGCGATGGCCGAAATCCGTGATAGTGGTAAAAGAGTTCGTTTCGCCATGTAAACACATTTGGATACAACTCTTGTTAAATAACAACAACACTTTTTTTGGTCGATTGGATGCAAGATTATTAAAAACTTGGCCACCACTTTCTCCTTCTTCTTCTTGGCGGGGGGACGTCGCAGTGCGAAAACTTGACGTTTTGTGTAACAACTAATTTGTACTCACAGCTGCTGCTCCTCCACTCGTCGTCCTCCTCGTCGTTGACACTACTACAGCTATCTATATAGGTTCTATCTGCAAGCAACTTATTTATCAATTCACCACTTCATATAGTACCGTCAACAACAGTTCTGTTCTCTCTCCTAACTTCCATCCACCAGCTAAGCTAGAGCGGGACAGGATTTTGCAAAATTTCGCCCGGGACTTGGCTTTGCGAATTTCACTCTGCACTTACTCCTCCTGCTGCTGCTGCTCCTGGCTCCTTACTCGGGACAATTCAAGTAGTGACTAACGCTGGCCGAGGTAAATACTCGCGTTTTCAATTTCCACGCACACGCAATTCTCGTCGTCCCTACGTAGTCGTAGAAGTAGAGTCGTCGTATGTTCTGGTGCCGTTATATTTTGCCTTCTTTTTGCCCAACTTCGCACTTGTTTATTATTACGAATAAATAACTTGGCAGCAGGGAAACTAAAAAAAGAGAGTCCCCTCCTGATGTTGCCCCCTCTTTGTATGTATGACTTTGCAATTTCTCCGGAGTTGGAGTTTTTGGCAATAATAATGGATGGTGTGGTGGTGATACGAAGTGTGTTTATGTATCTCTATTATGAGTAGTTGAAAATCGAGGTAGTTGTTAAATTGACTTTTGATATTTGTTTTTGTTGGAATTGCTTTTCTTTCCTGCGTAATTATTCTTCTTGTTGAGCATCCATAGGTTGATTTAATGCCCGAGAAAAAAGACACGGAATCTTATACGAAAATTGAGTCGATGATATACAAAAGTGCAAGTAGTAGTGGTTTTGGTTGATGTTGAGGTAGGATTTTGTTGTTGGGTGGTGGTGGCAGTTGTACACAGGAGGTAATTATCCAGTAATTAATTGCTACTGCTCCAAGTTAGTTGTGTTTAGTTAGAGTAAAGTGATGAGCTTCTTTTTCTTCTTCTTCTTGTCTCTCTCTCCGACTTTTTGACTATGAATCACTGTTTGTATGTTGAGTAATTTAAATAAGAAAGGCTGCTTCTTTTTGGTTAATTCACTTGATTTGTACTGAAGTATAGGCTTTGTAATTTGATTTAGTAGTAATAAAATAGTAGTAGTATGTTGGTGGTGGCTTGTTGTTTTTTGTCCAGCAGAAGAACTTGAGGTTTTCAGTATTTTACTTGACTGTATTTGAGCCGGCCAAAAAGATTCAATTGAAATAATATTGTTGTGTGTGAATACAAAAAAAAAACAGGAATATCCAAAATGCCGATAATGAGACGAATATTAAGAAGGGTTGTCTATATCGTTGCTTGTGTGATGTAGTTGGTGATACTTTTTTTTAACGCAGGCAAATTAAGTGGAGGAGTATATATAGTTGGATGGGTGGGATGAGATGATGATGCTAGGATGACACAAGAAGAAGGATGATGATGATAGTTTACTTAAGTGTATATATTACAGTGAATGCTGCCAAAGATTTTATTTAGCGTTGGTGGAGGAGATGGTAGGATAAATTGTTGGAGAGAATATGGTCGTGTAGGTAGCAAGTATTATCATCTCTACTCTTCTCTCTCGGAATATATATTACTCTTCAATTGAGCTTTGGTCTTCTTCGTTTTCTTGGTTTCGCAAAAGGTTGTAGGTTGACTTTAATTAGCTCACTTGTACTTGTAAAGCAGCACTATGAATTCTGAATTGACAGCAGCACGTAGCAGCAGCGTACTTAAAGTGCTGTGCTGTAGTTAAACGACGACGACGACGCTTCTTCTCCAAAAGCAACTTGTTGTTTAAAGATTTTGAGGAGAGAAGCCGTCCTATTGGTTTTAGATTTAGACGATGAAAAGGATTTTGGTTGATGGTAATTGAAAGGTGGTGATGTCATAAATAGTCGGTTGTGGGAAGGAGGAGGAGTGGTTTAGAATAATTCCTTTGTTGTTATTGTTTTCTGGACGTGGTAGAGATAGATAGCTATGGTATGTAGGGTGACGTTGTGTCAAATATTTAACCCTTATTCCTTCCTTTTTAAGGACCTGGAAAATAAAGAAGAATCATTTAGTGTGATGGCATCATGGTCCTTTAAATTTAGTACTTTTTATATAATAGTAAATTATGTTTAGAGTAATGTATATAGTAATTGTAATAATCATCATCATCAATTCATTTCATTTCATGGAAGTGTAATCGAAATCTCGAGATCAAAGGTTGAAAGCCATTAATTTAATTTTGATAACGGAATGCTGAATATGGAGCTGAGTGAGAATGAGAAGGAAAATAATAAGGCTGGGAACTTTGTGGAATTGAGTTATTTAGCGTTTTTATAAATACTTGGTTTTAATAAGTTTTTACTTAAAACAAAGTACTAAAACTTATACTAATATAGTCGGGTCATTGAGGTCATTTCTTTAATCAATGTCATACATTTGTACATCTCTGGTGCAAATCAAATATGGAACATTCCTTTCCTTCAGAACCCCCCATGGGCACCAACCGAGTCGACCATGCATAGTCGAGTCGTGTGGTATTTCAATGTACCCTGCGACAAGAGCTTTATTATTAGCCAAGCAAAACCGCAGGTGCGTATGTTAAACCGAGTATTTCAGCACGTGCCATCATCATAAATAATCCCATGCATTGCATTTCGGAACACCACATAATAATACATACATAGTAATGTAGTTGTATGTATGATTTTGTTGTCGGGTTGGTGATAGCGATAGCTTAGTATGTATGGATGTCAAAGCATACATAAATAAATACATATATAAAGATAACCTCACATTTCATCTGATAAACTGCACATTCTTCATTTGGAAAACATTTTTTTCTTCTTGTGTCATGTATGTTTGACCCACTCAAGTCCATTTTTATTGACCCAAGATAACTCGATGTTGCGCGTTTTGTTCATGTCAACCCAACAATTATTGTTGTTGAAAACATTCTATACTGCCCTCAACCAAAATGAAGAAGAAGCCATCATAATCATCCATGTCAGAAATGAGAGTAAATAACCGACAACATCTCCATCCATCCAGCAAGCATGTTTCTATCCAGTATATTATCATCAAAGAAAAGAAGTAAAAAGTTGGCCTAGATTTCTATAATACATTTATTTGTCCGGGATATATATATATATATTTTTATACGTGGCCAAAGTCTCTCTCTCTCCACCACTTTGTATCCCATTTTTGTTTGATGATGTTGACTACACAAATCCAGCCAGTGAGCCATATATTACTCTTTTACAAATCAGAGGGAGGTTAACTTTTTGCATGAGATGAAGAAGAATTTATTGAAAGCTCATCGCAGTCGCAACTTTTTAACCCAGAGGAGAGGGGAGAGAGAGCTTATAAAAAACAGCAATAAACAAGCTATCAGTGAATTCTCTCCATAAATCATGCCATGAGAGGTAGCCTTTGTCAGGTAGTTGATCTAATGAGTGTGGGCGTTTCTCTGTTTGATATTTTGATTCGATTTCTGATGGAAGGCCAAAGATGGACATGTCTTTAGACACAAAACTTTAACTATCGGCGGTGAGTTTGTAGTGTATATAAATTTTCTCGGCTGGAAAAATGATTGTATGAGAGAAACATTCCAATCCTATATCATGATGGTAAATATGATGCCGCTTGCTGCTAAATATTATATAATATCCTGCCCAATATTTATTATGGCTCATGCTTTCTATGATGGTCGGTCGGTCGGTGTATGAATGACAACTCCATTATTACACTTCACCACTTTTTTTTGCATTAAACGAAATTTAAACTGATGAATTGCAGTTGTCTTTGCGGATTTTGTGTTTATCAAGTGTTTATCTTATTATATCTGTTGTTTTATCGGCACTCCTTATCTACACAAATAATACCACATTACAATCCTGTTTAGACAGATTAATGACAAACAATTACAGAGGAAAGAAGAATTCTTGACGTTTATTAGTTAACAAATAAATCGATTGCGTGCTTTTGCCCAACTGTAGGTAGACCATGCATAACACACAGGATGAAAATGAGCAATAAATAATAATCAATAACAGTATTAATTGGAATACTATTATGATTTACTATATATTATTGTTCATTGGGAATACTGGAAACCAAAATAAATTTAATTTCAATTATTGATTTAATTCAATCCACTTTGCCATATTTTTTAAGAATTAATTTACCCTAATCTAATCTAATAGTTTATGATGCCTTTAAATATGTATGTTATACATACGTACAGCAGAGTATTTTTATGATTTTCGGATGATGGCGTAGGAATTTAAAATATTGTTATTTCTTCATTTAAAAGTAAAATGATTTCTTATTCTGTTTCCAATCTTTCCTTTCTTTGAGCAAGTAACAAATGCCGAAATGAAATGATATGTACGATATGATTGAATTTGTGTGTGTGTATCTCTCTCAAATATTAATTTATTTGTATTCCCAACATTTTTTATCTGTATCTACGTGTGTCTGTGTATGTACACATCAGTTTTGCTGAGTACGCAATCGTCAATAAAATCTGTAAAAGGATATGCTTCGCTTTTAAAAATGCTCCACATTTATCACCACTTTACTTTACCAAGCTGGGCTCTGCAAGCTAAGCTCTCTTCTTCCACTAAACTAATATTAATTCCGTTCCCAGGCTAGCGGAGAGCCATCAACATTTCGCAAAAAGTATTTGAATTTCAAATCATTCAAGATCGGTTGTCTCCTGCGTCGTTTAAAATTGGTTTTAAATAGTAATATTCCAACCCAACCAGTAACCATCAAACGTGGCCCAGCTTACACAAAAGGGGAAGGTTGTTTGCAAATCCTACGGTGTTGTTGTAAGTATTAGTATTAGATAAGTATAAATATGGCAGCAACAGCAGCAGCAGCATCAGCATCAACTATCCCATTGTATATTTCAATACGACTCTCGGCAAACCGGCATCAAATTAGCATTGAAGTTATGAACTACCAATCTACAATTCAGCAATCGTGTTACTGGTTTTGTATATATAAGTTTAAAACTTAAAAACATGGAGGACATTGCCTTGGGGTGGTCACCAAACCAAACTTACTTATTCACCGT